CTTCCTGTTTGTCTGCTGTCCCCTCACAGCCTTCCTGTCTGTGCCCCTCCTGGGAAGGGCTTGGGGCCACAGTACTCAGCACTCCATCTGGGGGCTGTTTTCAGCCATCCTAGTACAGATGGGAACTGTTGAATTTGGATGGATGCACAGGGCCTTTCTAGCAGGATCGGCTCTGCCAGGCCAGGTTTAGGTGATATTCCATTAGATTCAAGGTCACACTAACAAGCTAAATCCAATACTCTAAGCCTCAATTCAAAATGCTTTGTTACTGTACTGACTTTTAATTCTTAGAATCAATCTGCAGAACAGATACCAATATACCTGTTCTGTGGACTTGGAAGAAAACTTAAGTAAAGCTTGCCCCAAACTATCAAAGCTGGTAAGTGGGTCTGCCAGGATGCACAAAGATGTAACCTGGCTCCAGAGCCCATGCTGTGAATCACAAAGTAAAACTAGGTACAAGTCCTGCCCTGCTATTTCCTGACTGCCAACTCAAGCCACTCGACCCCCCCTCCCCAAATCTTGGGTCCCTCATGTGGAAATATATGGTTCATTCAGAGCCACTAAAACCCCAAAGTCAGAGCTTAGAAAGACACCAACGCACAATGATTTGGTTTTTTTCAAGACAGGATTTCTCAGTGTACTCTGGCTGTCCTTCAAAGCTTGAGATCCACCTGCCTCTGCCTCCCAAGTGCTGGGATTAAAGGTGTGAGACACCATGCCCAGCTGAAAATAATTTTTTTTTTAATTGAATGGATCAGACAGTATCCTACCATCTAGTGGGGGAATTTAGTATGTTATGGTTTACTTTCCTTCCAGGGTCATGAAGGGATTGTGGGCCTCACATAGTACAAAACTCAGGTAAGCATTCCAAGCCTATTTACGCTGTCTTTTTTTTAAACATATGCTCGTATATCAATTTGTGAGTTCGGGCCTATGTGTACACACGCACCCTAGGCAGACAGCTCTTCAAGTATCCCGTGCAGCCTTCTCCCATCCTGCCATCACCAGGCCCTCAGCCAGGATCAGCCAGGCTCCAGGGACTGACAACCTACTGTGGGAACCCAGGCCCCTCCTTTACGCCCCTTCCTGGCTCTTGCCGGACTTTGACTGAGCTTTTCCCTGTGGGTATCCTCAAGCAGTGTCTCCCACCCTGCAAAAACCTTGTAGGGTCATGAATTTCAAAGAACTCAACTATGTTGTGAGAGTGACTTGTGGGGAAAACACAGGAAACTGAGTCGGTACACCAATCTGCCACACAGATAACCATAGTGGGTGTTGGGCGGGAGCTGTGGCCGCCAGCCACGCTTCCATCCTGTTCCCCAGGCAGGTCTACAGAGTTGTCCTCCCAAAGGCTCCCCGCGCCTTGATTTAGCATTGGCGGCGGCATCTGTGAAGCTGAACTGAGTCAGGGTCAAATGCAAAAATCCAACCAGGCAAGTGGAGCCAAACACAGCTAGCTCCTGTTCTGTGTGAGTGTGCATGTGCGCATGTGTGTGCGCGTGTTAGGATGGGACTCCTCACATTCTGGTGAGCTGGGCATCAGTTCCCCATCTTACAACAGGGAAACCCAGGTCTACAGGACAGCATTCTGTCTTGGCTTCCTCCCCAGCTATATTGCTGAAGGGCTGCTTGAGCCTTTTAATAGGCCAGTGGCTCATGTTTTTCTTCTCATTTGCATGTGTGCCACACAGGCAGGAGAAACCTTTTGTAATCATCTAAAAAAAAAAAAAAAAAAAAAAAAAAAAAAAAAACAAAAAACAAAAAAACAGATCACTAGCTGGCTTGTGATCTTCACAGAAAGGCAGAGCAATCACCAATTTTTGGATTTTATTAACACGCTGGCTGCTTGCTGCTAGAATGTCAATCTGAGAATGGGGCTTTGGCGTGTGACTAGCAAATGCTTGGCCTCTCTGATGCAGAGGAACGCTAGAATACTGGGAAAACACACCTGACCCCTGTCGCTTTTGGCAGACTCTCCCTTACAGTCATTCATCTCTTCCCGTTTGTTATAACCTTAGCACACATGCAGCTCTTCTACCTAGGTTTGCTGCCAGATGGCCATGCCACCTGACACTTCCTCCTTCGGCTCAGGCTCCCTAGAGGAGGGGGCCTTGTTGGAGCTGCCACCATTTGGCTCACGTATCTGTACAGCTTTACTTCTGGCCAAGACCCCACGAATCCCAGTACCTTAATTTTTCTTGGCAGGGTGCTGATGTGGGGAGTACGACATTGTCAGCTTGCCTGATGCTAATCAAGGGCTCTTCCAGCGAGCCACACTCCAGGCTTTTTTTTTTTTTAAACGACTTTGTATGTTTATGTATACAGTGTCCTGCCTGCATGCCAGCAGAGGGCAATAGATCTCATTCAAGGTGGTTGTGAACTCAAGACCTCTGGAAGAGCAGTCCCTGCTCTTAACCACTGAGCCATCTCTCCAGCCCCCCCCCCCTTCTTTTAAAAGATGGGCTCACTCTGTAGCCCTGATTGTCCTGACACATAGAAAGACCTGCTGCCTTCTGCTTCTAAAGCACCAGAATTACAAGGGTGTCCTACCATGCCTGGCTCATTCTAACATTGCTACTGTGCTTATGCAAGCTTTTAAAATGCAGTTTGTTTCCACTGGGTGGTGGTGGTGGCGGTGGCGGCGGCAGCAGCAGCACACACCTTTAATCCCAGCACTCGGGAGGCAGAGGCAGGCAGATCTCTGAGTTCAAGGACAGCCTGGACTACAGAGTGAATTCTAGGACAGCCTCCAAAGCTACAGAGAAAGCCTGTTTCAAAAAGCAAAAAACAAAAAGTTGTTTCATGACAATCTTATCTGAGTCATCTCTCAGATTAAAGGCAGACACCTCCATGCTAAGCCCTAGACTAGCTTCTTGAGAAAATTAGCCTTCCGTGTCTAACAGAAGTTTAATAGTCACTGAAACGGACAGGAAACAGAGCCAGAAATCCATGTTTTATTATTCACTCAGGCACGACAGGTCTACCTGGTGGGCTGGGGCACGGCAGCACTTTGCAGTGGTGTAGTGGGATGTTCACTGTCTCCTCCTGTGGCAGGCTTCTGAGCCACTCTTTCCCCTCAACGGTTAGTCCTTGGTTGTCATTTCAGAGTGTGGTCGTCAGTCAGGACCACTGACAGCGAGCGACAGGAGGAAAGCCTGCAGCATCCCACACTGGAGTTTTCTGGGCTCTTAACAGCAGTATTTTTACTCAGGAACACAGCACTCTCATGAAATACTCTTGCCAACCTCCTTTTCTTACGACTTGATCTACTTGGATCCTAATGTCATCTAAAATTTGATCAGCATTCGTTGTCTAGGTCAGTTTCTTTCGCAAATGGCTTCCAACTCTTGGAAAGAGTAAGGCATAAATAACCCACCCATCGCTGCACCAAAGATGACCTATCTCGCATCCCTTCAGAGGGCTCACTTGTAGTTTGTAAGCCGGTGGTGCTTTGACCTTCCTTGTTAGTCATGCTTATTTAGTATGGCTAACGAAACCTAAGCTAGCTCTCATTATTGGCACCACTGGCTCTTTAGCTACAATGAACAACCCGGCCCCAGCAACACCTTCTCCCACAGAGTCGACTGCTTTTGAACCATTTGCTCTAAGTTTAAGCTTCCTAGTCAGTGACTTGAGGTAACAATTCCTCTTCTTGGAATTTTACCTGCTTTTCAGCCTTCTAGTGTCTCACCCATACCCTGGAAACCCTTCACTATTGGGAGCCTGCCCCTCATTAGCTCAGGGGTCTTTTCGTAGTCTCCCAATAGTCAGCCGCACTCTGTGCAAACGAAGTTGGTTCTCAAGAGACAAATAGGAGCCAGAGTTCAACGGTGTGTCACCAACAGCCACCAACACAACTCTTGCCCTACTCTTAGGAACAGGATGAGAAACCTCAGTGTACCTGTTGCAGAAGTTAAATACTCTGAAAACAATCTGTCCAAGGGGCATAAGATCCTCCACGTCCAAGCAGGTATATGTTAGCAAGGATGGCTTCCTAAAGGAACTGGTTTTCAAGTTTCCTAAGGCAGGAGCTTAGCCATCCCGTCAAAAGTGAAGCATGAAGGTTAGCAGCCCTTTGAACTCATTTTGGCACTAGACACAGAGGAACTGTTCTAATTGGCAGGCTCAGACGAGACCCCAATCACTGTCAGTTGACGTGCTGGGGGTCTCCCAAGTTTTCTCAACTCAGCAGGCCAACGCTGCTAGCCTGGCACCGTTCTAACATTTCAAAACCATTGGACAACATAATTGTGTGGAATGGTCTACTGTTTTAGCACCAAATCCAATTGGCTTTGAGGTCAGCTATAGAGCAAGTTTTCCCCCAAATTCCTACTGTGGTTTTCTGGGTACCATTTCTCTTTATCAAGGACTCTTAAGTTCAGGAGGAAAAGAGGGGCAGAGGCAACACTGGTCTCCACACTGCCAGCCAGAGGACAACTATCCACACTTTCTGGGGCGCTTACAAAGGTGGAAACTTGAGTGAAATGCCTCTGGACTCACGGTTGAGCACTAAGGACATCTGGTGGTATAGTCATCGATAAGCTGCCACATCCTCATGGTCCCAGGAAAGGCCTTTTAGATTAAACGCTACAACTTCTGTTTAAGAACAGTGCTCAAAAGTCACTTCTACATTCCCATCTCTTAAAAATGGAGGCCCAGATGTGGGCACTACCAAGCACAGGGAACACTGGACTACCACTCTGTTCTCTGTGATCATCACTCACTCTCTACTCACAACACAGGAAAACCCACTGAGGGATGTCACTTATTTTTGCAGTACTGTGGACTGAGCCTAGGGCCCTCCACATGCTGTACCACTGACCCTTTAGCCATATTTGAATGAAAAGTACCAGTCCTCTTAAGACTTTTGAGCTCTTAGCCAAATCATAGTAGGATGCCAAAACAGGCCCTACTCATGCTTTCTGTTTTGCTTTCCTTCTAAAGGGAATAAGCAGAAGGTAGAGGTGCTAAGACACCTTTATAGTATGCAGACTAAATTCATTTGTAAAGATTGCTTTACTGTCCTAGAAAAATACATGTTGCAAACTCAAGGGCTACAACTCAACCACTTTGGAGGATTCCTGAGGGACAGGGGTGACCTTTGACTATCAGGCTCTGTGGTTATACGTAAAAGAGGCATATTAAATATAGATGGGTCAGGCAGATTTAGAAAAAAATCTTTTTTCCTGATTTTTTTTTTTCCCTAAAAAAAGACCAGTCACCATCTGTCTGGCTTATTTTGTGTGCGCATGTACATATAGGAACAGCCTGGGGGAGGGGCTGTGTCATGCAATGAAGCAGAGCTGGCTCCCTTGACAGAGGCCTTAGTGTTGCATGAGGAAAGATGGAGGGAGGGTTACTGGGAAGGGTTAGTATGGAGCTGTCCAAGCTTGTTCCTACCAAGAACCTAGAGCATCAGGGGCTGAGGGTAGAAAGCATAATGATCTCTTTCAAGGGGGCTCCTATCTGAACACATCAGATATCCTATGAAAACGAACAGGTATGCTTCTGAATAGAAATGAATATAAATGGTAGTGACTTCCTGCGTTCCTGACGTGGGGCACAGTAATCAGGAACCCATAATCCTTCTGGGTATGTTTCTGGTCTGGCCAACAAAAGCTGCTAGGAATGGAAGTGAGGGCAGAGCTGGGGTATCTTCACAGGACTTTGAGAAATGCCTTTTGTTTTAGCATTTTTAAATGCCAGCCCTGGTGAGCAAGGACTGAGTTGTCAGTGTCACTGTGGAGACCGTGGAGACCATGGGCCAGGAAGCCGCTCCAGGCTGAGAAACAGTGCATCTCAGGACCAGTGGGGGCTGTGGCTAGCCTGTGGCTGGGCCAGGAGAGAGGGAGCACAGGCTGCAGACCCCTAGATGCCGATGCTCTGTAGGACCCGCCTCTCGTTGTCATTAAGGTGGCACGAAAACATTATGTAACAGGGCTGCTGAGCAAACTGGCAGAGGAAGTCGGTGAGATATGCCTGGAGGAAGAACAAGATGGCGTTACTCAAGGCTCCCAGGGCCGACAACAGCGTGCAGCCGAGTAAGGACCCCCAGTAAGTAGTTGGTACAGGAATGCTGGCTTCCAGACAAACGCCAGCTTCCTAAGGGGTAAGGAGTGGGTAGGCTTTCACATGTTACAACCCAATGACAATGCCCTATTTCCAAGGCTCTATCTCCTATTTCACCCAGAGAACGTCCACAAAGTAGCCCCTTAAGACGGGACACAGCTGAGGCAGGACGGGGGGGAACCCCAGCACCCCTCTGCTCCCCACGGCCTCCAGCGCTCAGACAGCAAGCACACCCACTTTTCCCGTAGTTCTCCTAACTATGGACGGATTTGAACCTACAACCTTGCTTCCATGCTTGAAATCGATACTGTGACTTGTAAGACGTCTATGGAGCACTCACCTGTAGGTCAATCTGATAGAGAGGGTCCTTCAGGGCATCAGGGTCATCTTCCTCATCATCTTCATAGTAATCCTCCTCTGTTAGACAACACAAGGCAAGTTAGGACAGAGCCCATGGTCAGGCCTTTGCTGGTATTCACCACCCCATGGCAAAAGCCCAAGGGACACGCCTGGGAGCCCACACCGCCTCCCCTCGTGCTTGGAGAGCCCATTCTTGGCACCAGTGTGCAAAGACCGTATTGCCCCGTCTGGTCTCAAATGGCTTACCGTATTTACTTGTAGCAAGGATGTCAGATAAAAGCTGGCCAGCTAACCCATCCTCCTCTTCCTCGTCGTCTTCCTCCTGGTCCTCCCACATATCATTGGAGTCATCTACTTGAAGATGACAAGCAGATGAAACAGTCATGCATTTCCCCTCCCAAAGCCTAATGGGACAAAAACAGGGTCCAGGGTCGCGGCAGTATGGACTACCCTCGTCAAGGGTGAAGAACCAAGGATGGCCAACCTTCTCAAGGAACTAAAGCTTCCCAGGAGGGGTAGGGAGGCAGCTTGCTTCCTAGCTGCCTCACCTTTAACCTCCATGAGAACTGATGTGGGCCAGACAGTGCAGACATGGAGCGGCTTTTCAGAAACACCCTGCCTCGCCCTTCCAAGCCGTGCCTAATAACCCTAATTGATCATGACAGTATGGGACTTGACCCTCCAGGTTAAAGTCTCCCGGGGTAGGGCCTGGTGCACCTTGATTCCACTCTGTGGTAGTGGCCTGGCGAGCCGCATTGGCCTCCATGACATTGGAGAGTTCATTGATAATCAGCTTTAGGATCTTGACCAACAAAGGAATGTTTGTCCAGCGCTCTGGGTCTAGGAAGGAAGTGAAAAGACCTCAAGTCAGATCATCCCCGGGCAGGAGCTCCATCCTTCCCATAGTTCTACTCATAGTCCCTCCGGTGCTTTCCACCATCTCTGACTGTATCCAGCCAGCAAAGAATAATTCACATTTAATTCTGCCTGGTGTTATATATAACAACTCAGCAAGGAGAGTTAAGAGTTCCGGGATTAGCGATCAGTTGCTACTAGTAACAAAGCTGAGCTCCAGGATGAAAGCTGGGGAGCATTGTCCCCAAGCTTTATTAGGTGCCAGTGCCTTGATTTTCAACACGACGGATCCATACGTTCTGATTTATTTGTGCTTATTTAAACCCTGCAGAGACGGAAGCCATACTCACTTTTGGCTGACTTAGAGCGGGTACGAATGCCTTCATCCAGGCCGTAGATCTCTTCTCCCTTCACACGAATATCCTGTAGCCTCTTGTCATCTGCATTGATGCCATGCTGAAGCAGCTTACATAGTGCTACAGAGCTGGGAAGAGCCAGAGAGTCAGCCCGCTCCTGCCCACTGCTTACTCCAAGGAGATTAGCTCACTGGCAGAAGATGAAGACCCTCCCTCCGGTGGGGAAACTTCTTTTCATGACTAATGAGCAGAGTCAGCAGAGTTCGCCTGACAGTGCGATTTGGTACCCAGAGGTGGTCTGCTATCTGCTCAGCTTGAACAAAGTTAGGGTGGGACACACAAAGTCTGTCCACAGTGTATTTAGGTAATAAGGTTCAGTTGAATAATCCTAGGCTAGAGAGGTTAGGGATCTAGAGTAGTAGAAGCCTTGTCTAGCAGGTCCAGGCCTGGGTTTGGTCATCAGCATCAGAAAAATAAAGACAAAAGTCTAGGCTACAGAGTTGCAAGCAAAGGCTTGGGTTTATAAAAGAATAAGCGACTATCTATGCTTACTTAACCAGGCAGAGTCTGTTCTAGAGGAGGCTGTTGGAGTTCAGAAGTACACATCCTACTCAACACAGAGACATTGAAATATACGGTTATCAAGAAAGATGAGACAAACCACAGGGACAGCTTGGTATGTCAATGGTGCAAGTCAGGGAGGAAAGATGTAAATGTGAGGAGAAGTAGAAAGCTCAGAGAGAGAAGACAGGGCCTTACCTTACTTTGCCTTCATACTGTCCATAAAAGAGATGCTGCCGGCTTGTCCACTCAGCCATCACAAATTCCAGGGCAGGCTTGCCAGTCGGTCCTGGGAGGCTGCACAGGAACTCCAGCAGAGGTTCCAGCTGCGTGTGCACGAGGTGAGCGAACACCATGATGAGAGACTAGAAGAGAGTAAGAGGGTGCTTGTTTGAGGGGCGAGAACAGCCCAGTCAGCTAAGAAACAGACTGGGGCTGGGCATGATGGTGCACACCTTTAATCCCAGTACCCAGGAAGCAGAGGCAGGCAGATCACTGAGTGTGAGAGGCCAGCCAGAGTCACACAATGAGACTGTTTAAAAAGAAAAAATACAGAGTTTGGTTTGGGCTGGGGAAATGGCTGAGTGATTAAGGACATTATTGTTCTGAGGAGCTGGGTTTGGTTCCTAGTATCCACAACCATTTATAACTCTGGTTCCAAGAACTGGACTTCATGTATATGGTGCGTGCATGCATGCAAGGAAAATACTGTTGTTGTTTTGCTGCAGCTAATGCCTAAGAATCACAAACAAGAGACTCAGCGCCCACGTGGAGTTTGAGAGAAGGGAGAGAAAGAGGGGGTAGCTGGTGGCCAACCGAAAGCAGGAGAGGTCAGAGAGGGAGAACAAGAGAGAGAGGCCTCCTTGCTTTTTTAAAAAGGGGGGCTTGCGAATGCATAACTGAGTCCTCTGGCAGCCAGGTAAAGCTTGAGCCGCCAGGTAAGGCCATGAGCATCCCGCCCATCGTCGGGGGGCAGGGGTCAACTGGCTGCTAGTTCCTAACAGATACTCATAAGCGTAAAATCTTCATATACAAATCATATCTACTCATAGGGCCGAACATGGGGCTTTCTTTGATCACGTTTCTTGGCCAGATCAGATCCATTTTTAGTTACGTGTTCTACAAGCATAGTGAGTGAATAAATCAACCCGGGACCCATATACCCAGTTGATTCTGTCACCCACTGCTCTTACCTGCATGACACTGAGTGTTTCTGCCTGTTGCATCTTACTGAGGATGGCACGAAGAATCTGGTCCAGATTCTCCCCGAGCTCCCGCCCTGCCTTGGAGATGAGAGTGGAGACCAGGCGGCCCACAAAGGCTGCAGTGAACTCAGAAGTGCGTGGGTCCAGGAGCTGGCTCACCACTTGCATCACATACCATAGTCCATTGTGGCCTTGCTCGTCGTGCCACTGAGCTACCTGTTCCAGTGTCACTGACACGTAGGCCCGCAAGCACTCTCCACCGTTCTGTGGGGACACAAGTAACAAGATTAGCCAAGGAAGGAAAGGGCGCAGGGAGGCCCTGGACTCTACTGACGGAAGCCCAGAGAGTTCACGTGGCCCATTACACTAGATTTATTGCTCCAGATAAAGACAGGCACTAACACCATCCTTCCTTTACCCGATCAGCTAGCTCAAAACTGCCTACTTTTCACTACAGGGGCCAATCACCCAGTGAATTGAGGTTTAACAGTAAAGATTTACTGTTAGTATTGGAAAAAAACCTTAGGTGTAGCAATATCAGGAGTCCTAAGACCCCACACAAATCAGCTTGCCTACGAATTTCCAATCTGACCAGTATTTACTATCATTTTTCTATGTCCTTTATATGCAACCACAATGAAGACCTGAAAAGTTACCGACATCCTCCATCCACCAGGTCTATCGCTTTGTTGACGGTATCAACAGAGCCTTCAGAAAAGTCCCAAAGCCCCACGTCTGACACGTAAGCTCCTACAGCATCAATAACCAAATATAGCCAGCCAGATACCTGGTGTTTACACTTTTAAAGGCTGTAACAGACCGCAGAGCACAACCAAACTAGGCTTCTCGAGTTGACAGACTTGTATTTCCAAAGTATAATCATATGTCACTTTTTCTGAGACTACTAAATGGCTACGGCTGGGAAATGTTTTCTTTCTCGTTTCCAAGTCTCAGATACCTGCATGGTGGCGTTATCATCCGTGTGAAGGGTGCACTGTGCCACAGCAGGGAAAGCTTGACAGATGAGGAGCTGGGAAAGGGGAGGCTTTGTATTTCGAACTACTGTAGTCAGGATATCAATGGCTGTCTGAAAGAAGAAAGAAAAGTCAAATTACTTCTGGGGTAGGAGGTATCCGGCACCCAAGATGCCTGTTAGGTATCTGGAGCCTCAGCTTCATTATAGGGCTTCTGATTTTAAGAGCCTTGGGGGCAGGTGGTATTTGACAGTGGTGAGGGGGATGTTTCAGTTGGTAAAGCATTACCCTTGTTGCATAAAGAACTGACTTCTACTCCCAGGATCCCTGCCAAAAAGGCAGGCGTGGTGGCATGTGTGCGTATAACCCTTGTGCTGGGGAGGCAGAGGAAGGAGGTTCCCTGGGGCTTGCAGGCTAGTCAGCACACTTGGCAAGACTTAAGCCAATGAGACATCTTGTTTCAAAGGAGGTAGATGGTGTTTCTGATGACACTAGAGGGTGTCTCCCTGCCCCCACATGCATACACAGACACACATGCATGGGGGGGGGGGGATGCCACCAGGCGTGGTGGTGCATGCATGCAACCCCAGACCCGGAAACAGACAGGCAGATCTCACTTCCTGTCCATGGGTGGGATCTGTGGGTGGCACCTGAAGAGTTCTTTCTCCTCCTCTGGCTCACAGATCTTATAGCCACTTACCGCACAGAGCCCTGCAGGGATCTTATCTGCTGGGGCCTGCATTATGCTGACCAGAGTGGGAATCAGTCTCATCTGCATTGGGCCTTGACAGGCTTCAATCTGCGACAGCTCCTTGAAGATGTCCTGAGCCAGCGAGGCGACAACAGGGTCTGAAGTGGATAAGGTAACATGGAACCTGTCTACTTCTGGTCTAACAATGTTGTTTCTTGTTCTACGTCTAACAAAAGTTAAACACTTCTGCACAGACTACATCTCACACACATGGGAAGTGTATCAGCCATTTAGATCACCTGAAGAACAAGGGGATGCTAAATCTTCAAAAGATACAACCGATGTTTTCATCAGAGAATGGACTTCTTAATATCTACCCCTAAAGTTAAAGTAGGCCTTTCTTCTGGGGTACCAGGAATAATAATGCAACCAAATGATAAAAACCAAACAAAACAACCCCCAAGCCCCAAGCCCCCATTGATATCTTATAAAGAAGTCAAGAAAGCTGGCTGTGGTGGTGGCTGCCTTGGATCCCAGCAATGGGGAGGCAGAGGCTGGCAGATCTGAGTTTGAAGCCAGCCTGGTCTACACAGTGAGTTCTAGGACAGCCAAGGCTGCATAAAGAGACCCTGTCTTTGATACAAACGTGCAAACACTGTTGCCCCCAGGCTCTCACCCATTTAAAAAAAAATTATTGAATTTATTTTATACTTATTGTATATAGGTGTTTTACCTGCATACATGTTTGGGTCCTACATCCATGCAGTGCCTAAGGAGACGGGAAGAGGGTGTCCCCTTTGGAACTAGTTACAGAAGGGGCTGTGGGAGATTAAACTGGGGTCCCCTGGAAGAACAGCCAGAGAGCTCTTCACTCCTGAGCCACTGCTCCTGCCCTTCCTACACCTTTTCAAGAAGCCACACATATTTCTTGGGGAGTAGCCACGACAGACAGGAGGAACTCCTAGGGTCCTGTCTGTAGTGTAGCCAAAGACACAGCTCTCAAAAAGCAGAGCTTCATAAAGAGATGGAGCTGCTTCTTTTGGGTGCCTGTTTTGAGAAGGGTTCTCATTGTATACCCTTTAACCTGTAATCCTCCAGCCTCAGCCCCAAGGGCAAGGATCACAGGTATGTATTGCCTGGCTAAGAAATGGAACCTCACGGCAATCTGCTTTTTACTATGTAATGAAAATACCTTTTTCATGTAGCATGGAAAGATGCACGCAGGGTACACTAAGGTACATGTTAAAAGGAACTACAGCATTTCTTGTAACACAAACATCTAGCCCTCAATTAACAGAATGGGTAAATTAAAGATATAGTAATTTCACAGAAAACTACTGGAGCCTGAAGAGGATAAGAGATCCACAACCATGCTCTTCAGGACACATTTTTGAAGTAAAAAAACAAAAACATTTTTGGTAGGACATCATATAATAACTACTATTCCACGGCCTGGCTTAAACCCAGGGTCTCCATGTGTGCTACAAGGACTCCTGTCCAGACCGCTCAGGGAGTTATTTACTTCCTATTCCACTATCATTTTTGAATTGCATCTTTTTGTGTTGGTCTTTCTCAGTATCTTTCCTAGCCCTTGTGTAAGGTCACCGACCCCAGGGAGAGCTTTCTAAACCCACCCGTCGATTCTCATCAGCACAGCGTTCCCGATGGCATACATACCATTACTGTACTTCAGGAAAATGGCAATGGTGAAGGGACAGACTTTGCTTTCCACGCTTGCCGTGAATTCAGGGTCAACAGTACAAACGATGCACAGGGTCTCCATCACCAGGTTGAGGACTTCTGAGCTGAACTGGGCTGCTAGGTGGATGAGGCCATCGAGGACGCTGGGGAGGAAGGGCTGAAGCACATGTGTGCTCTCCGAAACTTTCAGCTGATCACAGTAACTAGAGAGAGAGATACATAACTAAGAGTCCCTCACAAGATGACCCTTCAATTCTTAGGCTTCCAATCTTATATCTTTGATGACAGACAAACCTGGTGATCAGAAATGGGTCACCAGGACCCACACACTGGAAAGATGACCGACTGCCACAAATTGCACTTTTTGGGCCATGGCATACACATGCCCACAAATGTAATTAAAAATTACAATACAGTGTCAGTAATAAATAGCAATAAAAACATTGTCTTGCTAAACAACACGCTAAGAGACAGGGTTTCACTATCCTCTGCCTGGACTGGAACTTGATATGCAGACAAGGCTGGTCTTAAACTTAAAGGAACCACCTGCCTGTGCCTCCAAAGTGCTGAGCTTAGCAGTTATGTGTCATCATACACCCCTCGTTTGTCTTATAGTCATACAAAGCTCCATAATGACCAGCGAAACCAGGACATCATGGGCTTCATGCTCGGACCTTACTTCTATTTCTTTTTAAAAATTTTTCTGGGTCTTATTTAAATAAATAAAAAAAAAGCATACACCAGAAGAGGGCGCCAGATCTCATTATAGGTGGCTGTGAGCCACCATGTGGGTTCTGCAAATTGAACTCAGTACCTCTGGAAGAACAGTAAATGCTCTTAACTGCTGAGCCATCTCTCCAGCCCCTGCTTTTAAATTTATCTTGGTTTTACTCCTGGCCCATTTTTAAAGATTTAAGTAAGATATACATAGGTTTTAATGGATTTGTTCTTATTTAGTTGGCAAAGGCTTTAAATTATTTATGTGTTGGAGAAGGTCTGGGATGTTTCTGATCTGGAGTTGGAGTTACAGGTAGTTGTGAACTGTCTGATGGCTTCAGAGCTTTCTGAAAAGCTATTCTTGCTTTTAGTATAATATAGTATTGTAAATTCAACTAGAGCCAAACACTGGTTTTACCAAGACTGCACAGGAAGATTGTACCACGCAGTCTTCACACGTACAGACAGACAGGGTGACTCCTGCACATTCCCTAAAGACATGCCTCCCACTCTCCCTCCTCTCTCATTGCATGGCTTCTCAGTCACTGTTTCAAAAGTTATGAAGGCAGGCGGATCTCTGAGAGTTCGAGACCAGCCTGATCTACAGAGCGAGTTCCAGGACAGGCTCCAAAACCACAGAGAAACTCGGTCTCGAAAAACCAAAACCAAACAAACAGGATAGGAAGATAAACTTTGTAATTCTTATGCATAGAATTCAATTGAGATGCTTACATTTGGACCTTAAAATATCTTTTAAAATAAAAATGATAGGGCCTGGAGAGAGGGCTTGGCACTTCAGAGCACCTGTTCCTGGGGAGGATCTGGGCTCATTTCCCAGAATTCACAACTGTCTATTATTACTCCAGTTTCAGGGAACCAATGCCCTCTTCTGACCTCTGTGGGCACCAAACATGTACCTGGTACAGAGACATATGTGCAAGAAAACACACATATAAAATGTAAAATAAAAAACGTTTTAAAATAACAATGATTTCTCTGGTCTGGGTAGGAACATAAGTTTAAAAAAAAAAAGGCTACTAAACCTCTATTCTTTACCAACGAAAAAAAAGATCAAACTGGAAAAAATGCATGGTTTCTAAGGCCACATTCTCTCAGATTTGGTCTCTAATACAAGAACTATCAACAATGATGTGGTTGCTAGTCAGACTTGTATGTCCCTCATCAATTATGCAACTTTTATGTCACTCAGAACCTCCGTTATGCACCTCCTTCACCGCAATAAGGAACAAAAGGGACCAGGACACCTGAAATTACCTGCATTGCTTTTCCCCCTTTCTTTCCAATGTGCATCCTGAAGCCTGAAGGAGATCTTCAGAAGAAATTCCCAAACATTATATATAATGCACAAGATAGCTATGATGCTCTCTGCCCGAGTCATCTTCTCTTTAAGCAATTCTTACCACTCTGTATTAGCACACTTACCCCCAGATGGCTCTCACAGCAGAGATTCGAACCGATGGGGGTTGTGTTTCATGAAGCCCACTAACTGTTGCCTGTAGGAACTGCTGAATCAGTTCAGGGGACATAGCGACAGTGAAACGGCTGGCAGCCCAAAGTGCCCGTCCCAGGAGGAAAGGAGACGCTAGCAGAAAGAGCACGGTTACAGGTTAGATGGAAGTTTTTCTTCCCCCTTCCCCAACTCCGTTTCTCAAATATTAAATAACCGGAAACAAGCATACGGTAAAAGAAAGTTGCAATGGACGGTACAGAATCAATTTCTCAATTCTACCTCTGACTACTAAGTATTCTGACACTAAAGCCCTTGGTATTTCTTACCTATATTACTAGTTCATCTAACTCTCCCTATTACTGTCACAGTAATTGTACAGAACACAAATTATAACTCTGATTACGTTATCCCTCTATTAACATCCTACCAAATAACTTTACAGTCCACCAAATACAGATAGCAATAGTGACCGCAGTCATGGCTACCAAACACAAGCACACCCAGCCCCGGACACTCACACCTTGCTGTCGACTCTTTTATGCCACCTCGGTGATCTCGCTCTGAGCCACCGTAACCCTGCATGCTCTGCTTTCTCATCTGCTACATTTTGTTTGATAGTCTAACCACTAGCGTAAGAACTGCTACCTCCTGCAGAATCTATTCAGCCTGTCGAGAGCTCAGCTTAGTTATTCACACTGAATATGTAACTGACAGGAGTTATTGAACCTAACCAACCAATAAATAATCACTAAAACTTCACGAATATAGAGGCAGTCATTGCCTAGGTATGGTCTAGGTGCTCCTCAAAGTCCCCTGAGCTAAACTGACCACTTTCTAGTTTAGTCGTGTTATTGTCTTTTGTGGATGAGTGTTGTGTGTACATGGTGTCTGTGCTACATAAGTGCCTGGTGTGCAGAGACCAGAAGAGGTTGTGCCGTCTCCCTGAAATTGGAGTTACAGACGATTGTGAGCCACTGTGTAGGTGCTGGGAATCAAACGCAGGTCCTCTGCAAGAGCAGCCAGTATTCTTAACTCCAGAGCCATCTCTCCAGCCTTTAAAAATCATTTAAAAAAAAAAAAAAATTTTTTTTTTTTTTTTGAAGACAGGGTTTCTATGTAGCCCTGGCTGTCTTGGAACTCACTCTATAGACCAGGCTGGCCTTGAACTCCTGGCTCTGCATCCTAAAGGCTGGGATTAAAGGTGTGCTCAGCTCCCTAAAATCATTTTAAAGGAATACCAAGACATTAACTTGACATCCTCTCCTGGCCCATGATTGCACACATCATACTCACATAGACACACACTTTAAAAAGTATGTAAGTTAGTTAACAGCAGGTCCCAAGATCTCCTAGAACCCTGCATGTATTAAAACTTACCTGACAGGTTGAGGTCTGCAAGGATGACGTTGGTCAGGAACCCATGCATGTCAAAATGGATCCTGCCATTCTTCACACTGTCAGTGATGATGGATTTCACTGAGCCTAGAGCAAGCATGCAGGCCTCGTGGATTTTCCACCTGCAAAAGGGTTTAGTTCGCTAAAACAAACTGCAGTTCCAAATAAAGGTATCTAAAGTAAGGCCATTTAGAAAATGTATTCCACATGATCTGATGCCGAAGTTATTGATCTGTATTTCTAATTCATTTAATTTAAAACAATAGTTTTACCTCTGTCTATCTAATCCATCCATCCATCCATCGGTGTGGGAGCATTTATTAGTAATAGCATGCAAAGGTCAGCCCATTATTTCTACCCTGTAAGTTCTAGGGCCTGAACTTAGTTTGTCAGTCTTTACATTAAGTGTCCTTACCTGCTGAGTCATCTCATCAGCCATTACTACTACTACTACTAATTTGGTTTTTCGAGGCAGGGTTTTTATGTGTAGTCCTGGAACTTGCTCTGTAGATCAGGCTGGCCTCAAACTCACTATGTATCAAGGATGGCCTTTGACTTCTAACTCTCCTGCCTCTGGCTCCAAAGTGCTAGGACAGAAGTCTTGGCCCACATCCGGTCTCACCCCTCCAATGTAAGCACTACTATGAAACTCCTATGACAACACTGACTATGTCAGCCACCCTCTAGTGAACAGAAGCTCCCCTCTTCAGAGCTGTTGAGAGAGGGAAGAAATGATGCGCTGGACAAGCCTAAGCAGAGTGCTTCCTCGTGTTCTTACCAGTGCTCAGTGCCACTGTTTTTGGTCTGCTCAGCTTCTTGTAAGTGCCGAGTAGCTGCAGCAGCCAGGGCTGCTGCACTTTCATTCTGGAAATCTGTGGCCACAGCCTAGGGAGAGAGATCTAAAAATAAATATGGGTGTGGGTGGTTCAAACCCCGACACACCCACACTAAACCCAGACCAGGCATTTAAAAGAGACCCCATTAGCTCAGGGTTTCTAATGAAATTAAGAGCAACACCCAAAACTTTGCAGCTCTCAGTAGTTGCTGTCTCTGGCTATATTAAATACAGCACAGTAAAAAGTAATAGTCAGCCTTGGATAACAATGGATCAGAAATTTATTCTCTTGGAAGCTGGCTGATTGTGAAAATATAAGACCTCTCTAACACTGTATTCTTTTTTCCTGTTCTTTTTTTTTTTTTTGGTTCCAGCAATTCAGCCAAGCTCACTGTACACATGCCAGGCAAGCACTCTGCTACCGAGGCACATCCTGCTCCCTGTGTAACGTCATAGGTGACCAGACATAACCAACCAACACACAACAGGAATGGCAGTCTGTTCCTAGCACTCTGGCCTACAGACAACCCTATGCTCTAGTTGGAGGAGCCAAAGGAATCATGGGCTGATGCTGCACGCTCATCTCCCAGCAACCCTTTTAAGTTTGTCAGCTAGCTTCTGGTTTGTGCCATGGGGGTTGGCTGAAGGCAGGAGCAAACACAAGTGTTCCTGACTCAAGGAGCTTTAGAATTTCTAAGTCTCAAATTCATAAGCAACTTTCTTATGGCCTTAAAAAGGTCTGGGGTGAAGCTGCCCAACAGTGCTGCTTACCTTGGGTTAGATGTCTAGGAAGAAGAAACTTCCAGTTACTGGAGGGTTATTTGGTTGAAGTAGCAACGTAACTCTTACCAGCAACAAGTCTTGAGCTGCAATTCTAACAGTGTAGGAGAAAGTGTCATCATCCTCATCTTCTACAAACTGTTGTGGGTTAGCGGTCCACACTTTAATCTGCGAAGAGGATGGGGTCAGGTCATTGCGGGGCCCCCTCTCACTGCATAACCCGGCTGGCCTGAGAGACATCTGGCTGCCTTCCAGTGCTTAAAAGTCTGTTTGTTCTCTCTTGTTGAGGAGAAACAAATCATTTATCTGAATCTGTAGGAATGGCTATTTTTTTTGCAGCAGAATCTTCTTCAGAATTTGATGAATTTGCCAGAGGAGTGGTGGTGGCACACGCATTTAAGCTCAGCACTCAGGAGGCAGAGGTGGGTGGATCTCTGTGAGTTCAAGGCCCTGCCTTGAGCTCCCACCCCCCAAAAAAGAATGACAAATTACTTAGTTTCTGCCATCAGCTTGTAACTCTGATAAAGACTTTCTGAATATCTAGATTATTTACTATAAAATTTTACCAATTCTTGTGCTTATTTATATAAAAAATATTGTTATTCATATTCTTAAACTTCTTTTAAAAATTACATTTATGCTAATGTGGAGTGGGTTCTCTTCCACCACATGGATTCCAGGAATGAACTCAGATCATTAGGCTTGGTGGCAAATGTCTTTACCTGCTGAGCCATCTCAATGGCCCATGCCAATGTATTCTTTTTGCTTAATATTTAAAAAAATTACAGAATTTCATTAATTGCTTGAGAACTTCACAAGTTGTGTTTTGAGCGTATTCACCCCTTCACTCTCCCCAGACCTGGGGAAATTCACTTATTTTTAAATTTTGCAAGGCAGGGTTTTATGTAGTCCTGGCTGTCCTGGAACTCACTCTGTAGACCAGGCTGGCCTCAAACTCAGAGATCCACCTGCTTCTGCCTCCCCAACAGAGGGCACTGAAGGTGCGCATGTCTGGCTGGGGAAGCAAGTTTTAGAAACCAGGGTGTTGTTACTCTTTAGTTCTCCCTCTACATGCAATCAGAGAAGCCGTAGCTCAAGAGCAGACAGCACGAACACGTGTGTTGGTGGGAACCGGCACTGCAGAGTAAGCCAAGAAAAGGCTACTCAAGTTCAGACGGCATGGTTTGCTCAGTATGGCGCATTACAGATGTTGCTGGGTCACGGGAGTCCCAGGGACTCCCACACATCTCACCAACCACTGGTCTCAGCTGCTGCATTCTCCAACGTCCTTTTGTGGTTCCTAATGACCCATCAGCCAAGCTGAGAGGGGACAACGACTAATTTCACCACTAGGTATTGAGCAGGCTCTCCCACACAGAGCTCATCCTAATGAGAAGTGTTCTGAAAGTCTGGCTAACGTTAGAGCTGATAAAACTCCCAACCCTCGGGGATGAGGTGATAAACGATGCCGAAGCTTTCCTAGCATGTGTCAAGAGTTAGTCTCAGCGTCTGCTTTCTAGAAATGAGGCATCTGCTTGGCCAAGCTGCCACACACTTCAGTAACTCATCCCCAGGTGCCACTTGCCTGCTCCTCGGTGATCTGCATGTACAGGATGACGTAGTAAATAAGCTCAGGCAAAGCCTTCCTAACAGTGCTTTTGAATTTGCTGTTTTCTAGTAGGGCATGGACAAATTCAAAAATGCTGAAGACGAGGTTTTCAAAGCCTAGGACTTCTCCTACAGAGAATACACAAGAGTACAAATTAAAACAAAGAGAGAAAGTGTTCATTCTGGACATAAACTACATTATCTTTGTGTATCAACTGAGCATGTAAAGTAAACTTGCTAATTATTCCTGAAGGATTGGTATAGGAAGCTTCAGCTTCCTTCTTTACAGTCAAAGAAAGGAACTTTGAGGAGAGTAAATACTTTTAGGAGTTAAAAAAAAAAACCCCACAAACATGGAAGCTATTTTCCAGCAAGTCTACTTTTGATCTGAAATGCTTAAATACTGACATAGAAATGGAGAGTAGCATCATATAGGACTTCGAAGTTAAATGAGGCAAAATATCACGGGTAGATGGATTAGACATCGATCTATTACAACCCAAATGCTGTGATTTTCAGTGGACGGTGAATGTTCCTAAGGATGAGACGGGAGATAACGAATTCTCAGCGCCTCACCCAATGCACTTAAAAGAGGCATTACCGCCTTTTTTGTTTTCAACCTCTGACTTGTGTCTGTCTAGATTCCTTTCCCTGAGAACAGGTATTTCTGGTAGGATCAGGTAAACCACATACCGTCCGAGTCCACAGGGTCCTCCACTTCCTCTGTGTAATTCACTTCTGTCCTCACATAAGTATGGTGCAGAGTAAAGGCAGAGAACCTGGAGTCTACAGGAGCGCTAGATACCCAACACTAGGACCACACGGAACAGAAGAGCAGGACCCGAGGCTAGAACCCCGAGTCTAGGCAGCGGGTCCTTTGGGCTCTCAGGAAAGGATATAAGGCAGCACTTTCAGTTAGAGTGTTCCAGACGATGGGCAGGATCTGCTGCATGGAGGACACCATGTGCTTTGGGAAGTTTTTCACCAAGGCTGTCACTGCCTGAGAAAACAACAATAAAACCCCACTGAATGACACAGAAGCAATCAATGATTTCTGACTCTCAACGCCAAATGCCACTGTTAGTCATCTTCACCTTCAGAACCTCCATCTTGAAACCACTGTCAGATGTGGGGCCGTCTGGCATCTGCAGGGCCTGGACAAAGGCCTCTGTGAACTGCTGCACCACGGGAAAGATGAGGACTTTGGCTGCACCCTGACAACAGAAACCACAGTCAATGCTCATCAAACCCCAGCCCACAGCTTCCGCTCTTCTTAGGGCCAGGTTCCTAACACAGGGCGCAGGGACAGTCACTGCAGGGCTTCTCGAGGCCTCACGCCTCAGCTCCCACCTTCATCCCTCAGTAAGGTCCTCTCCAACCTACCCCTCCCCACTTCTCAGAAATGCACCGAGTCCCACCCGAGACCCGGGACCCGCATTCCAGCTAGCTTTCTGTTACACAAGAGGGTCTTAAGACAGCAGGAAGGCTCGAGATGTCTAATATGAAGGGACACAGGAAGAGCAGATGTGTAGCTCAGCTCAGTGGAATATGTGAGGTCCTAGTTTTAATTCCTAGCATGGAAAAACCAAACAAAAAAAAAAAAAAAAAAAAAAAAAAAAAAAAAAACAAAAAAAAAACTCACACCCAAAAAACCAAAACAGAAGGAAAGAAAAAGAATGGATCTAGGGAAGGTATTTGTAGCTAAAACCAAGATGGGTATCTATATGTATGTGAAAAATGTAATGAAAATGTTAAACCTCTCTATGTAAGACTGGCTATACCCTTTCTGGTAATTATGAAATTAGTCATTGGCAGTGGAAACCATTATTAATAAAGACCAAATTTTGTTAATCGCGAACCAAAGGCTCACCTTTTCCAGCTCTTCCATGTTACAGATCATATGGGCACAAGTAGTAAAAATCTCTACTGCTCGGGACCGAGTTCGAATACCATACACCTGGGGGAAAGATCATGGCACAGTCATGAGACTGGAGTGTGTACGTGTGTACATATGACTAGAAGAAAAATCCTCACAGGTAAAATTAATCCCCTAAAGAGATACAGATCCAATATGCTTATGTCAAAAATGAGTTTCTGTAATTAAGAGAGCATAAAGCAACAAAATGCTAGAACTTACTACATTCAGCCTTGTATAAACAGGCCTATGACTAAAATCAGGTCCTGTAGCCATTGTTTTGTTTGTTTGTTTGAGACAGGGTCTCATGCTGTAGACTTCACAGGCCTACAACTTACTGTGTAGACCAGGCTGGCCTACAGCTCAGCCTGCCTCTGCCTCCCAAGCACTGGGAGTACAGACATACTCCTTATGCTGGGCTTGGCTAACATGTGCTTTCTCCTTTTTCTGGAGACAGGGTTGTTTCTCCCACTTCAGAGTCCTGAGCACTGGGCTTACATACGGCATGTGCAACTGTGGCTGCTTCTTTACTTTGTGATGACAGAAGATAAGCCCAGGAGCTTGCAAAGACGAATCACAGGCGCTATACAGTGCTATATCCCGACTTCCCAATGTATTTCTTTTAAAATGTGCAGTAGTCATAGGGGGCAAGGGATTATGGAGGCTGAACACCTATGAGTGTTCATAAATGATTGTGTAGGGATCACTATTTATATATATACTAACACATACATACCTACTACATTAATAATCTATTCACACAAGAAGTACAGGACTGTTTCTAAACCCTTAGCTCAATAGGCAAGGTCGGGAGTGGGACATGAACTCGAGGGGGATAGGGTGCCAGAGCCTGTGTGCACTGATATATTCCCCTTACTTTAAACTTGAGGGGGATAGGGTGCCAGAGCCTGTGTGCACTGATATATTTCCCTTACTTTATGTAGGGCTTTTTGTTTTTGTTTTTTGAGACAGGGTTTCCCTGTAGCTTTAGAGCCTGTCCTGGAACTAGCCCTGTAGACCAGGCTGGCCTAGAACTCACAGAGACCTGCTTGCCTCTGCCTCCTGAGTGCTGGGATTAAATCCAAGGCTTTCCCATACAGCCACAAATTCAAAGACCATGGTCAGTTCGATTTCTGATCTAGATCACTGTCAGTTCTAGTTTTGTGGTGGGCATCAGTGACAAATACCATGACCAGAGATGTGAATGCTGACCAGAGCCAAATAGGTCTCTTTGCTGCAACCACTGTGCTGAGATTTCATACCTCAGCCATGGTGAAGATCTTATACATCTCTGGGAGAATGACAGGAGCAACAAGTGGCATCTGCGTGTCTGTCACTTCCCGAGTAAACTCTGCAAAGACAAAAGTTAAAAAATGCTCCTTAAAAACAAAGTGTGAAAATTACCAAGCCATCTAGGTAGAGTTCCTAGTCGGCACATGATGGCCACTGGTGTAGCAGCCTCACCCTGAGGAAGAAAGCGAAAGCACAGTAGTATTTGTTGTTAGACGGGGAGAGAGAATAGGAACACACAGCTAGACAAGAGGTTAAGACAGAAAACAACAGAGACTGAAGAGATCTGCAAGACAAGTGCACCCAAGTCAAGTCAAAGGGCACTGCTGGTGAGCACGCTAGCGTTGGGTGCACTTTCGAGATCTCACAGCTGTCGTCTGGGATTCAGTTCTGTCCTCTAACAAGTTACTTCAATGCAAATAACAAAGCAAACATAAGCCAGGCACAGTGCTCAGGAGGCACAGGCAGGCAGGTCTCTGTGAGTTAAAGGGCAGCCTGGTCTACTTTGCAAGTTCCACGACAGCTAGGGGTACCCTGTCTTGAACAATCTAACTAACCACCCACCCACCCACAGATGTACTAAGTGTCAGCTCCATTTATCAATGTGTAAATCTGGAGCCATTCTTAACTGGACAGGAAGGGGATCTCTAAGTGAAGGTATTTAACCCACTGTAGACTTGAAAGATGCTAGAAATACAGATCACACCCCCTTGTGCTTTGAAAAAGCGAAATAAGAAAATGATATGCAAAGCACATAAAGACCCTGTGTCAATCCCACAAGTCAAAGGTCAAATATGGGAGGCTAACTCTGCATTATGAGTGTGGTTTCCTTCTGAAAGGTAAATGATGAGCTTGAATAAGGAGTGTCAAATTCTATTTAGATTTTCAAAGAAATCAGCCCAAATAAATATAATGGATACCATACTAGCATTTCTTGGTCTTTGGCCTAAGATCAAGCATTGACTACACATTAATGATAAGTTTTATGAAAAACTACAACACGGGGCTTGGGTGTATCTTAGCATGTCAAATTCCCAGTATCAACACCACCACAACAAAAGAAGGCAAGCTAAAGGGACCTTACTGAGGAAGTTCTAACTGTACAACTGACTAATTGTACTTCTTAACTTTTCTATAATCATTGTGGACAGTCTCAATTTATTATAGGTTTAAGATCAAAAAGTGAGTTTTCTGAATGAAATCATTTAGCAAATCAAAAAGCTTGGGATAATAACACTTCAATTTCCAAGCATTAAGATCTATTGGATCAAATATTTAAATTCTTAGCTGCTATGCTTATATTTCCTTCTTATCATGAGACCACGTTCACTTTTATAACAGAAAAAATAACTCAGAAATTACAGTTAGGAACAACATCTTCTGGAGCTAGGCATTGGTGGCGCAGGCCTTTAATCCCAGCACACGGGAGGCAGAGGCAGGTGGATCTCTGGAAGTTTGAGGCCAGCCTGGTCTACAGGGTGAGCTCCAGGACAGACTCCAAAACAATACAGAGAAACCCTGTCTCGAAAAAAACCAAAAAACAAAAACAAGCCCCCCACTCCCCAAAAAACACACAACCAACATGTTCTCAAAAAGTCTCCAAGTCACCGGGCACAGTAGTACATGCCTATAGGCCTAGCTACTGAGGAAACTGAGTCACAAGTATTGCAGGAGCCTAGGAGTTAGAAGCCAGCCTAGCCAACACAGAGTGACCCCATCTCCAACAACACAGAAAACCTTAAAGAGAAATAGTCCCATTTATCTCATGAGTTCCTACCCACACACTAATATTCTTCTGACTTCACATTTCAGTTTCTGTGGTGCAAAATTGAAAGTCTGTCCTCCTTTGAAAATGATTGGAGCAGCTATTTGTGAATGAAGGTTGGCTGTCATCCACTCCAGGTCTGATAACTTGACTACAAAAAGATACAAATTTCTCCAGCATTTCTTTCTCTTGGCTGACAGAAAATGACCTCACTGTACAGTAATTTCTTTAGTCAACTAGAAAGAAGACCCTTCTGCATTCCAATCAGGATAACTGTATGGCCATCCTTTCTCTGCAGGCCTGTTAGAAAGAAGTCAAACTTAGAAAGAAGATTAGAACAGCGTTCCCTTCCCTTCCCTTTCTTTGGTAAAAAAAGTATCTCTTGGTAGATGTCCTGGCACCATAATAGTGTAAATAAAGGAGAAGCAAGGGCAATGAAAGGCTCAGTGAGGAGCACTTTGGCCTCTTTGGTAAATTCGCTGTTTCTGAGCTGAAAGCTAAGCATTGTCGTAGCCACCAATAGGAACATGGGAGGTACTCTAGAGGGGCATCTGGGCACGAGAAGAGGGAGCTTTGAAACAAATGAAGGATTTGTTTCTGACATAGAATAGATGATCTACTATTAATAGTGAATGGAATTTGAACTATGGACTACAGGTGCTGTTCCTCACGCACACCAGACTGCAGGAACAGGACAGGACAGGACAGATAGTGTCTGATGCTGTGGGTAAACACCGACAAAAACCAATTTGGGCAGGAAACTGTGATGGGGAATGGTCTTCTGTATATGCTTATCTTATTGGTTGATGAATGAAACATGTGGCCAATAGGGCAGCTCGGTAGGTGGGTCTAGGAGGTGAGGAGAATTTTGGGAAATGGATGCAGAGTCAGTCACCATGTAGGCTGCTGGAGGAGTAATAGCATACTGGGCATTACTGGGGAAGCCACAGCCTCGTGGCAATACACAGATCAATAGAAATGGGTTAGTAATTAAGACAGAGCTAGCCAATAAGAAGCCTTAGTCAATGGCCAACAGTTTCATAATTAATTAATTAATATGTCTTGTGTGTTTATTTTGGGGCTCTGAGAAGGCTGCAGAACTGGGCGGAAACACCTTAACAAAATTGCCTATTTTGGCTTTCAGGTTATATGTACTGAAGGGAAGCCAAAGCAGAGGCCACAGACGAGTGAGGCTTCCTGGCTTACTTCTCTGGTTTCCTCCGCTACCTTTTTGAGGTGGCCCAGGCCCGCTTGTCTAGGGATGGCATCACCCACAGTGGGCTGGGCTCTCCTACCTCAGCTGAGGGTCTCTATTCCCTGGCGTGTGACAACACAGAATACACAGAGCAAGGAAAGGATAGTGAAGGCAGCAAGAGAAAACACAAAGCCATGATAGGCAGGCAGGCCCACCGAGTAACACCACAACATTCAATTCAAAGTTTAAAAACCAGCTCGGAGCGACATGTTTCAAATTCTGAAGGAGAAGTATAGCCAATCCAGAGCTCGTGCCAGCAAAGCTACTAGTCCTAACTGAAGGGAAGATAAAAGCTTTTCACAGCAAAAATAGACTAACGGAATCCCTCACAATAAAGAGAAAAACAAATCCATGAATGAGCCACAGAAAATAAACCATGGTAGAAAAATGCCAGGCTTGGGGGGGGGGGGCTTAGCCCCACAGAATGTCATGAATCAATGCTTACTTTTCAGTAACAACTGAATGTTAATATCAAACTCACAATCAAAAGGTATGGCAGGAAAACGGATGGAAATTTGGAAATGCTCCATTAAGTGAGGTAACCCGGACCCGGAAGGACAAGTTCATGGTCTTTCTCATATGTGCCCCTGTATCTTTGTATGTGTGTACTATTCCAGCTTGAACAGAGCCACCCTCAGCCCCCAGGACCCCTGTAAAGACTGGCAAGTATCATGGAACCACACTAACTCAATCCCCTGGGAACAGTGGGTGGAACTTCTGGTGGCTGTGGAGAGGAGCAGCATGTAACAGATCTGGGTCTGGGCCACACCATCGCATAGCTCTAAATCATTCCTCTCACAGAAGGTCAAATACCAATGGCAGGAAAAAACGCTTCTGGTACCTGTCAGCACACGCATGGCTCCATGGACGGCGTTTAAGTCTCCGCTCACCAACATCTCCATGAGCAGGCTGAAGAGTTGGGGCCACGCTTCAGGCCAGTCCCAGTGGGCAATGGCTGACACAGCATAGGCCACACTGGAACGCACTTTGCTTATGGATTCTCTCAACCCATTGGGTAACAGCTCCCGGATGACAATTTTTGCCTGTGAAGGAGGAAAGAAAGGCCACTTGTCATCAGTCGGGTGGGAAGATGGAGGCAGAGCTCATCCACTTTAAGACTACGTTGCCCACTTATAGTAGCCACTTTTTTTTTTTTTTTTTTAATTTACTTTTTTGTTTGTTTGTTTTTCAGGTTGAGGTTTCTCTGTGTATCCCTGGCTGTCCTGGAACTCATTTAGACCAGGCTGGTCTCGACTAGATCCGCCTGCCTCTGCCTCCTGAGTGCTGGGACTAACGACATGTGCTATGCCTGGCCCAGAAGCCACATTTTAAGAGTTCATCAGCCACAGTGATGCTCATATTGGACATCACACATACAAAACTTTCCCACAATTGTAGAAGGTTCCAACCCACAGTTCTGGACCTTATATCTCATCTTTTCTTGGTTACTCAGGTTGATTGCTTAGCGACTATACCAAGCAGAAGTATTATTTTATTTAATTGGCAATTTTAACTCTAATTCAGGAAACTTAGGAAACTGAGTGTTCACAGCTAAATGTTTCAAATATTCTTATGGTCTGCAAAAGGAAAGAACTAGAAATTTGAAGACAGTCCATCCACAGTACTCAACATGCCACCCACTGTCTATTTTCTTCCTGGTCACGTTTCCTGCTATCAAAAAAAAAAAATGTTACATTACTGCTGAATGTATTAAGACTGCCTCTCACATCCTTGTAGGTAGACTAACCACGAAATTGCCTTTACCCTTTCTGTAGTTTCAGGAGGTCTGAACTTTTCTGATTGGGAACACCAGTGAGTTTCCACATATTGCTTCAAGATGACTGACGCCAGCTGTGAAGAGAGTAAACAGTCAGGTGTAACAAGAAATAGCCTCATTTCACATATAAAAACCACATACTTGACTGATACATTTGAGTCATATCTAAACCTGGTACAGAAATCATGTTTTATACACTGTCCTCATCCTTTCCCTTTCCCCTAAGAAAGTTTCCCTACTAAGTAAAGGAATTATCTGTTGGTCAGCCAGGACTCACCTGACGGATGGCCAGTGCCCCCTGAGGGTCCACAGTCAGCTCTGCCAGGTGAACACCAAATTCTGAAAAAGAAAATTTTACCATGAGTCTAAGGATATTCATGAAGGCCATAGCAATTCACTGAGCTCAAACTTGGGGCAACCAGGAAAGATTCCAGAAAGAAACTTGAACAACTGCCTCTGCGGTGCGGCGACTTCTGGAAATTTATGACATTAGAATCGGGAAAGCCTGGCTCAACCAGTTTAACCCTAAAAAACAAAATAAGGGTTGCAAACAACAGTTTTCAACGTGTAATATAAACTTTAGAAAAAGACAGGGTTTTGCCATGGAGCTGACTTAGTCTTGAACAAGATTCACCTGCCCCAGCTTGGTAAGTGCTGGGGTCACAGATGTGAGTCACATGTCTTGGACTGAATACTGGGAATATGTTACAAATAAATACCAAATAAAACAGATCTTTTCACATCTGCAAAGTTGCCAATGCTGTATAAGAATATAAGATCAAAGGTATACCGTAATTTTGTATCTCACAATCTAGGATTATACAAGCCACTACAGCTGCCACCAGTCACAAAGACTGAGATGGTTGTAAACGTAAACACTCTACATTTCAAATATAGCATGAAAAGCAAGTATCTTAATAATGTTTTTCTTTGCAACATTTTCACTACATAACCCTGGCTGGCCTCCGACTCATATAAATCCCCAGCTGCCTTCTGTGTGCTAAGATTAAAGGCACCCAAAACCGACCACCCTTAAAAAACAAACACCTTATATGTGGAAATGCACCAGGTTAAATAAGTACAGTATTTAATTTATTAGCTAATATGCTTTTTACGAAAAGCCTCACCAGGTTGGTTGACTGGCCTGGAACTCATTTTGTACATTAGGCTGATCTCTGCCTCCCGAGTGCTAGGATTAAAGTTGTGTGTCACCATAACCAGCCAGCATTAAATTAATATTTTAAAGTTTTGTCTCTATGTGTATTCATGAATAAATCTCTACCACAAGTATGAAAAAGCCAGTGGGAGCCAGAAGAGCGCTTCAGACCCTAAGATGTCCTGAAGCCAGAGTTACAGACAGCTGTGAGTCTTCCAACATGGGTGCTGGGAACCAAACTTAAGTTTCGTTCCGGAAGAGCAGCAAGAGCTCTTAACCACTGAGCTATTTCTATAGCTTTATTATTAAAATTATTTTTTATATTTCTTTTCTTAACCTCTTTTAATATTTAGTATGGCTAGTAGGAAATTTAAATCTTTATGTGACCCAAACCACACATACACACACTACTCACCCCCACCCCCTCTGACAAACAAAACAACCCAGCAAGGACTCCAGATTTGGGCAATTTGAAGCTACCACATTGTTCTTAGGTAAGTTTACTCATCCTATAAACCCCAGTTTCCAAATCCAAATAAAGAATAGTGGTATCACTATAACAAGCAATCCTATGAAGATTGAATGATTTAATACATGTGCTTACCATAAACCTGTCACATAGGAAAAACTTTATGACGAAAACTGCTTTGTTGTTTATTATTTTTATTGCCTACCATCATGTAAGGCGAAAGGCAACTCACCACATTTCTTCTAGTAATTCTAGGACATCATTTTCTTACATTTAGGCTCTTAATTCATTGGGGCTTATTTTTCAATATGGTGCAAAATTTGGGTCTAATTTCAAATGGTTATGCAGTTGTCCCAGCCCCATTTAAAAAGTCCCATCTAGTCAGCAGTGGTGACACACACCTTTAATCCCAGCACGCAGGAAGCAGAGGCAAGCAGGTCTCTGAGTTGGAGCCCAGCCTGGAATATAAAGTGAGTTCCAGGACAGCTGGGGCTACACAGAGAAACCGTTTAAAATAACACAAAAACAAAACAAACAACCCCCCCCATCATCTTTATTTTCCTTTTCACACCCTGCCTTTACTGTAGCCCAGGCTGGCCTCCAATTGGCAACAACTGTACTGCCTTGGCTAAGAGATGGGATCACAAAGGTTAGCTATCAAATCCACATCACAGGGTTCTTTCTTTCGGACAGTATCTCACACTGTGTAGTTCATGATGGCCTTGAACTCAATTCTCTTGCTTTAATCCTCTTTCAGCTTATTCCACACGTGTGCACCACCCAGCCACAAGTGTTTCTGTATTTTAACCCTGACCTATCACATAAGGCAGGCTCATGTTGCTATACAAAAATTGTTTTCAGATTTTGGAGCAGGGACGCTCTTGTCTTAATTTCTTCGCGAGCGTGTGTGTGTTTAGACTTTATAGTCTATATCTGCCTTTCTATTTACATGCCTGTGCCATGCCAGTGTTAATTATAGAAACTTTATTATGTTTAAATGTCTGCAGAGCTTGTCCATTCTGGCAGTGTTTTTTTTTTTTTTTTGGTTTTCTGAGACAAGATTTCTCTATATAATAGTTCTGGCTGTCTTGGAACTTGCTCTAGAGACCAGACTGGCCTTGAATTTAGAGATCTGCCTGCTTCTGCCTCCTGAGTGCTGGGATTAAGGAGTGAACCACCACCATCCAGCTCTTTTCAATGTTTTTATGAATTATTCTTCAATCTCTGTTTTCCATATGACCTTTAGGATCAACTTGTCTAGCAAATTTAATGTCCTATTGTCTGAGCTAATAACAGGGTGTCTTTCCAGTTAGTTTCACTTAATGCAGTGCTGGGGAGACGGCTCAGTAGTTAAGAGTACTTGCTGTTCTTCCAGAGGACCTAGGTTTGATTCTCAGTACCCATTTGGCAGCTCACAACTTGCTGTAACTCTAGTCTTAGGGAATCTGATGCCCTTTTCAGGGTTCTGAGAGCACTTGCAAGCACACGGTATACAGACATACATATAGGCGAAGCACCCACACACAGAAAATTAAAAAATTAATACAATTAAAAAACCCTGCCTACTAGACCCAGATTCAACTAGATATTTTTAAAAACTAATTTATTTTTATTTTATGTACATTTGTGTTTTACCTTCATGTATGTCTGTGTGAGGATGTTGGGACAGGCATTATAGACAGTTGTGGGTACAGGGGGTTGAACCTGGGTCTTCTGGAAGAGCAGCCAGTGTTCTTAACCGCTGAGCCATCTCTTCAGCCCTGTAATAGATTCTTATAGTTCCTGTTTGTTTTATTTCAAATTACTTAATCTTTAATTGAAATTGTAAATGGTTTTAAAAGTTTCAAAACAAGTTAGATCCTTTGTGTATAAGAAAGCAAGCTGTTGATTTTTATAACCAGACCCTTAGAGCTCATTCTTTTCAATGCCTTCATTTTAATTTATTTCTTGAAACAGGAAGGGTCAAAGCTGGGGCTTTTAGCCGGGTAAGTGTTCTACTGCTGAGTTCCACCCAGCCCCTCTCTAAGCCACAGGGTTTGATCTTTTCTATGGCGTTCATCATGTCACTTAGGATAGAATGAAACTGCCTGGAAACCAAAACAAAATAGGTTTCTCTTGAAACACACTTATTAAATGCTTAAATCATGAACAATGAACACCTTCAAAATCGTCTCTATGGATACTGAAATTCACTCTGATTCCAAACAGTGTTTTGCCAGTTCAGATTCTGAGTGAATAAAAAAAAAAAAAAAAAAAAAGCCCATTTATTGCAATAGAAGAAACTGGTGTCTAAAACCCAATGTTATGAGTCTACTTTCAAGACAGACTCTAAAACACAGATGAGCTATCAATCTCCTATTTATTTATTTATTTGTTATTTACTTACCTACTTAGTTTATTTATTTTGTTTTTTTGAGACAGGGTTTCTATTTGGCAGCTTTGGCTGTCCTGGAACTCATTCTGTAGACCAGGCAGATCTCCGTGAGTATGAACTCACGGAGATCTGCCCGCCTCTGCCTCCTGAGTTCTAGGACTACCAACACCCAGATCATTTCCAATTTAAAAAGACCTTTGTTTTGTTATTTGAGACAGGGTCTCATTATTTCTCATTATGTAGACCAGGTTGGTTTCCAAATTAGAGATCCACCTGCCTCTGCCCCGAGTGCTGGGATTGAAGGTAGGTGTGTGTCACCATACCTAGCTGTCTTAAGACCGCTTAAATACCAATGCTTAGATTTAAATTTAAAAAGTACATCAAATTTATAGTTAAATCTAGTTCACCATTTTCACATTAAAAATGTGCATTTATGTGTGTGCATCACCTGAGTAGGGAGGCCAGGAAGTGGAAGCCCCAGGGTTCAAGCTCAGGCATCGTGTGGGTGTTGAGACTTGAACCGTGTTCTTCCTGCTGAACCATCTCTCCAGAATTAGTTTTAAAAGGACTGAGATGCCCGATCACCTGAATTTGATCCCTGCATCCCACACGATAGGAGAGAGCCAACCCAACAAGTTGCCTTCTGACGCACACACGCACGCACGCACGCACGCGCCACAGCATAAGCCCAATCTGCATAAACAGACAAATGTAACACAAAAGAAAGGATAAGGAATTCTCCTAGTGAACGCTTCCACACTTGCCATTCACAGACTTAGTGTGCTGATGGGTGCTAAGCTCACACCTTCAGTCTGCCTGGTCCTGGTCTCCCTCCTGGGACACAGTGAATTAATGCTAGTGTGCTTCATGCAATTTCTTCAGAATGGCCTACACATATATTCATAAACTACCTGGAACACACAGAACTTTCCTTTAAGGCACTATTTAAATAATGTTTGTGTGGGGTGTTTTTGTTTTTTCGAGATAGGGTTTCTCTGTATTGCTTTGGAGCCAGCCCTGGAAGTAGCTCTGTAGACCAGGCTGGCCTCGAACTGCATGTGCCTCTGCTGGGACTAAAGGTGTGCACCACGGATGCCGGCTCATTTATGTGGTGGGCTTTTAAAAGTAAGCAAGAGTTTACTTTTTTTTTTTTTTTTTGCGGGGGATGGGGGGGTGGTGTCATTCCTATAGGGACAAACTAAAATCAGGTAAAAATAAGCAAAATATTTGATCATACAGCATGACAGTTACTGAGGAATGAGCTTTTTGAGAAGTTTTGAAATCTAAATTGAAACTGTAAGGCGTAAATGCATTTGAATGGTGATCTTTCTCTGAGGACA